GTACGTTGGTTTGGTGACTTTTGTTTCACGTGTTTTCACAGATCCTTAGCTGGGTTTATAACTGAGCGCGTGCAGCTCCATTTAGCATGACTTTAATTAAATATTCTTTTGGATCTGTATTTTAACTTCAAGGTTGGATATCTTGACACGAACAAATAAAATCCACAGTTATAGATATATATAAATATATATATAATTCTGTGCTGTTACTGGTTATATTTATTTTTTTTAATGAAAAAATACCTGAAGTGTCAGCAGCTGTGCCACGTTCCGCTGTGCTCTCGGCTGATGCTGCACTTGAAGTTTTACGCCCTCGGGAAGGAAGGAAGGAAGGAGAAGGGGAGAGGGTTTTTTTTTTTTTTTTTTTTTTTTAGATTTTTTGAATGAGCTTGATATCCTGTGAATGAGAAATAAATGCGTCTCCTCAGTACCTGTCAGAGATGTGGCAGCAGCTGTGATACGCTTCACACCCAGCGTTTCCTAAGCATCTTCGCTTGAATGCCAGGGTAATGAAAAGGCTTTTGGAAAAGTGACAACAGAAAAAAAAACTGACAGATTACATTTTCATTTGACACTCAGCTGATCCTTTATTCTGAAGGAATTCAGAGCCACACAGTGGAGGTGTCTACAGAACGAGTCCAAACTTCAGGATAAGATTTGAATACTTTTTTAAAAAAAAAAAAATCACAGCGTTTATAAAGGGTTATTTCTGTGCATGACTTCAGTGTTACCATATAAAAGAAAAGTTTTTAATCCTAGTGACTAAAAGATGTCCTTCAGCCCTAATAGAAAAAAGTTAACTGCAAATGACAACCTGTTAAAAGCTGTGTCATATTTTAGCTAGTCTTTAGTTTTGTATTTTTATTCACATTTTGAAATATATAATTGTTTCCAAGGTCCATTTCTATGTATTTTTTTTACTAGTAGACTGAGTTGGTGCTGTTGTTTTTTTACTAGTAGACTGAGTTGGTGCAAGAGAAATAAAAACCCTAACAGATTACATTTGACACTGAGCTAACACTTTATCTTTATTTTTTAGAATTCAGTCTGAAGATGGAGAATGAACCCACACTTTGGGGGTAAGACTTTAAATTTTAAAATCACAGTTTTTAAAAGATAAAGTAGCAGTTGAAAGACACTCGACTACCCCGTGACTTTAAAACGCTAATCACACCGTAATTTATTCTTCTAACGCTCTGACATTTCACATCCAAAATTCTTAACAGTTCGATTTGATTTGTAATGGTTCAAATTTAATTTTATATTAATGTAAAATTCATACGATTGTGTTGTGTGTAAAGTCATGTTTATTTCATTTAGAGTGAATGTGTTTTTGTCTGAAAAAAAAGTGATGTTCTGTAGTCGTTGACAGATCGATGTGTTATCAACAAACAAATCTGAAGTCACGATCAGGGTGATCACACTGACCTTTGACCCCAGGGTCTTCACTGAATTAATATTCATGGTGTATATATTCCAATGAAATACCACAAATGTCGCAGCTCTTTATTTGCATCCTTCCTGGATAATTTTGGTTCATCATGATGAAAAATCACTGAGGCTTCCCTGAGGTCTCTGAGCACGAGATCTCTGTGTGTGTGTGTGTGTGTGTGTGTGTGTGTGTGTGTGTGGTCCTCACTTAAACTGTTATAAATTCCGTGTTGGCTCATTTGTATGCAAAGCATGCGTCATTACATTAAATTGGTTGTATATTATCTCTCAGCCACATCTGCATCTGCGCATGTGTGTGTGTGTGTGTGTGTGTGTACAAGGCTGTTGGAATTCTGTAATTATAATAATATTAATATAGTTACGCCTGGACAAACGTCGCCATCATCAGGATTCACTCAAATTTGATTAAAAAAAATGCATTTTTTGGATTAGGTTTTATAATGATGTAGTGTTGATAAATAATGTAACATTGACCCAAACAGTTTCTTCTTAACCCTTCAGACAGTCAGCTATTTCTGAATTCAGTTTTAAGATTCAGCAGACGTGTCAACCCAGCTGAAATATTCAAGTTGTCCCGACTTTAGAGCCTGTTCTGAACTCTACAACGGTCAGAGCCGCTGAGCACAGTCACGTCAGGGCGTGGGATTTGGTACATGGGGGTAAAGGGAAGAATGCTTAAAAAATGAGTGTATAAACTTTAGAAAGTCTATGTGAATTAATTAAAACAAGTTCATGTGAGAAACACGGCAGATGGTCGCTGTTTAAAACATCAAATAATAAAAAGCAGAGAATGAACTTTCTAAAAACAGAGGCTGTAAATGCAGTCGGTTAAATAATTCAGAAATAGCCTCTAAAAGCTTAAATACACCCACGAACAGACCAAAGTGTAGGAGAGAGAGAACGTCTGTCCCGGGGGGCAGCAAACACACACTCCTTATCGCTGAGTGTGTGTAAAAACCCAGATGATAAAAACAGAGCAGACCTACATTTGTAGAAGTAGGGCTGACAGAACTGGATCACCGGCTCTGGGACAGTGATGGACGCTCTGTCTGAGTGACGGGTGACGCTTCACACCGCGACACTGTGAAGGACAGCAGGAGGAGCTGGAGGTGGAGGTTGGAGGAGATGAAGATGCTGAGAGTTGATGTGGTTACTCTGAGGAGAGAGAGAGAGATGGTTACTCTGAGGAGAGAGAAAGAGAGAGTGAAGATTTGGGACAAAATATTTTGTTTCCAGGGAGGAGGAAGTGGGACGATCCCAGAGAGGGTTCAGAGATGTTGGCTTGGCCCAGTGGTTTGGGGATCTGAGGATTACCAGAGGATTCTACGGAGGGAGCAGCAGATATTCCTGGGGTCCAGGAATCGTTTCCTGGAGAACACCTGAGAGCTCCTCAGGCATAAGTTAGTGGATATTTCATGACTGTGGCAGAGAATCGTGACGTCTGTTCCACTTCAGTGACGTGAAAGTTGGATCAAATGTGACATGACAGGACTGAGGAGTAAAAATGAAAATAGTCTGGGTGGAGCTGGTCACACTCTCACCTTCAGCAGGTGTGGACCACATATGGGTCACGTCTGCCAGCAGTATCTGTAAAGTCAGTCCAAGATACCAGACGTGGATAGAAGGATGTGTGGACCCCACAGACGTTTCATAGAAATAAACAAAAGACGACTGACTCCTTGTCAGGAGAGTTTTGTTTATTCCTTCATTTATGAACAGGTGTTTCACTCCAACACAACCTTGGGGGTAATGGTCAACTTCACAAAGTCAGAGGAGATAAATTTGAAAGAAATGATGGAGAAACGTCTGCCGTCCTCAGATCTGGAGATGCGCTCCTGTGGATCCACGCGGCCGAGGAGCAGCAGCAGAAACGAGCCGCCTTTGTTTTCATCTGTCACCTCGGCTCCGTACATTCACTTTGTCAGAACGGACCACTTATCCCGGACGTCAGGTGTAATCAACGCCTCGCCGCCGACATGACAGCTATCACTCGCACCAGTGCCGCTAACTGGACGCCGCGTGACCAAGCAAGCGTGCGCTGCTTTGCTCTTCAGCGGCGTCACTGCTGTCAGTGGATGATGGATGATCCAGGTCCTGGAGGCGGAGAAGATGAGCCGTCAACACTGAGTACTGTATGACCTCATGTACAGTCGTCACAGAGTCAGGACACTGGCAACACATCACACGTGTTTAGCTAAAAACCCAGCAAATCCTGCTAACTGCTCAGCACTTTTAGACACTCCAAGACAAACAGAAGTTCCTTGTGTGTAGCATGTTGCTAGGCTAATGCAGAGAAGCATTTTTAGGTTTGATTTATTTTTGCTTTTGGAAAAAACGTCCGAGCTTTTGTTGAAAATTACCTGTAACTGTGGAGTTACAGATTTTTGTACCTGGGGAATCACAGCTATGTAAATTGGCGATATCTGGCAATACGATACGTATCACGATACGATATATTGCGATACAAAAGGCACAGCAATGTTGTTTTCAACAATTTTGTCAAAATATTATCGCTGCACAAAATGTGATTTTCTCTCCTCAAAAGTGATATCAGAATGTTAAACTGTGGTCAAAGCTAACGCTAACTCTAACACTAATGCTAACGCTAACTCTAACGCTAACTCTAACTCTAACTCTAACACTAACTCTGTTTCCTCAGTCACATGTTTGACCTCTTCTCCATGACGACATCAGGTCGACCAGAAAAGCGTCTTTTCAATGTACAAATCTCCAGCTTCGCGGCGTGACGGGGATTTTACAAACGAACGGTTGCATCCGTTTCTTAAATCCGGTCCATGGCGGAGACTCACGCCGTCATAACCAGACGTGCGTGTCTGCTAATCGCCTAATAATTGGACGGGAAGGCAGCACGTAGGCGGATGATGAATCACCACCGGTCGAACCGTGAGCACAGCAGGCAGGTGGCAGATGCTGCAGATGCTGACGAGTCGAGTGAGTGAGTGTGTGTGTGTGTGTGTTGACTCTGTGGGGATGTGCATAGATACACACACACACACACTCAGAGATGCAGAGACACGCTCATGCTAATGACACACACTTGCATGGATGAAGAATAGGCCGACATGCTTCAACATGACAGCCACAGGGATCTCATGCAGGACTTACTGGAGTGAAACATGATGTAAGATTGA